ATAAACTCGTTTTGCGTAAATCGGACCAAAAATTAATATTAAAAAAAACTGAAGGTAGCCGGACTAACTATGACATTGGGACGTCAAACATCTCAGTCCCCCCCGTGACCATGGGTGCTGTAAAGCACCTGAAACGTCGGGATAATAATAAAAATAAATTAAAGTAATTAAACGCGATAAAATCCGTAAATAATAGTTTTATTCAATGTGTAGTGTTCGCGTAAATTTATGAAATCATTATAATTAATGTGGTTACATAGCGTTACGCCTGTAATCCCCGAGGGGGTTGACAGCGTCCAATAAGCAACTAGCTACTCGGACCACGTTGAGCCAAAAAAAGGATTTAGATAAAAAATTGTGAAATAATAGATGGCCAGCCCATCGCCTACACAATCATGAACCTAAAAAACCCATTAGTCGCTTTTTATGACTAGGCAAATAATGCTGTTATGTTGGCACCTTCTTTTTTGTCTCGAGAACATAGGACTTGTAAATTTCAAATCAACATGGGACTATATTTTCGCCATCATCATCATGTCAGTAAAAGTAATTCAGCCAATATACGTCCCAGGGGTGCGACCTATAGTACCGAAAGGGCTTTAGAACAAGGAAAATCGTACTACGCTGCCCTCATGCGTTTTAGTGGACCTCACAAGTCTGATTGAAATCAGATTTCCTCACGACGTCTTCCTTTACCGCCGATGAGGTGATAAATCAGCAATTAAAACTGTTATTAATAATTTCATTGATGCCTGTGAGAAAATTCGGTTTCCTTGCGAAATATGAAACATTTTGACGATCGCTTATCCCCTGGACTATCACGGCTATCTATCGTTGTGAAAATTGTAGCAGCACCTTTCTTTGGAATTCAAGAATTTGACATCGCAGTGATGTTGTCCTCCAGATTGAATTTTGGTTACGGTGAACAGTTTTTTTTTTGCATAGGGTGACAAACGAGCACACATTCCACCTGATGGTAAGTAGTTGCTGTGGCCCATAGACATCTACATCTATCTTCGATTACGAATCAAAATGCAGATGCGTTGTCACTCGTGAGGACTGAGATGGAATGCCTCGTTTCCAGTAAAAAGGGCATTAAGCTAATATTTGACGCCGGTATTCTGTGAGAGCGTGGTCCTTCCCCGGTCGAGCCGACCCATTCGTGCTGCAACTATACTACTAATATAACTGCATCATGGCTCTACCATGTACAAAACTTGGTAGAGGTAAACTGGAATTAGAATTCGGAATGATACACCATGATCACGCTTACGCTTACAACCTTTCCGACTAACTTATTGTTTCTTCCATTTATTACGATCCTGACCATACCTCTTTCGCCTACTCCACATCCATATACCTACGCATACATGCTCGTCGGTTATGGGTACTCTTAATTTGGCCGATTTCCACTATATCGCCAATTTGGTGGATAAACTTTCGCTTAGGACGTTCCTTTCCGACTCTTCTATTCAGTTCTGCAACATATATTTTCTCTTTTTTTTTTCTTAATCTCTTATATTATTACTTTTAGGAAACAGTATTGTTAGTCAATTTATGTAAATTATACTTTTAATTGTATACATTTTTGATATTTACGTTTTATTGTTATTTTCTTGTTAGTTTTTATGGATAGAAACTTACTTCCTCGGTGTTTAATTATGCATTGACATGAATCAGTTACTGCATGTAAATACAAAGCAGCGGTTAGCACGCGTATTGTAACACAAATGGCTGCACTAACTCACGCGTACATTATTTGCATCTAATGTATGCGATCATGCAGTTTGTGACCAAACTTAAAGCATTCTTTACTGACCAAATAGATTTTTCATACGTTAAAATAATACGTTTTTATATGTGATAGAGCCATGTTGCAGCTACATTATGGTTGTGGAATGAATGGGTCACCTCGACCGGGAAAGACCACGCTCTCACAGAATAACAGTGTAAAATAGCAGTTTAATGCTTTTGTTTCGTATCGTGGATGTAGAGAACCTGAGACCCTTTCTATTGAAAAGAGAACGAGGTATTCCAACTTAGTCCTCACGGGTGGAAACGTATCTGCTTTTTAATTCTTAATCGAGGATAGATGTAGATTCTATGGGCCACAGTAACCAATTACTATCAGGAGAACTGTGTGCTTTTTTCTTCTAATTAATTATTATTAAATTAATTCAATAAAAAAGTCGTCATAGGAAGCTAAATTGGCAGTAACATTAATATTATTATCACAATTTAGAGGCAATAATATGTCTATTAGCTGCTTACCTAATTACCTATATCTAAGAAAGTATTGGTAAAATAAACTATGTAATTAAGTTAGATCCTATTACCAACTTGCTAATTTCAAACCGAACTAAACTTTTGATTGCTATTCGAAATAGTCAACTGCGTTAAATGTTTTACCGTTACCTTCACAGCCAATTAAAGTCCACTGCGGAACATAAGCCCAAAGATTCACTTGCAAGAGAAGGCCAAATTGACCTTTAAAAAGCTTGGCGTGCTTTAAAAAGCAGAGCGGTACAGTATTTCTTGCCGGCACACCGCCTGCAACTTTACAAGGCACAGGTTTCGCCGCACATGTAATATTGTTCACATTTCTGAGCTGTGGCTCTCCAGTGCCAGCTCCTTTCACTTGACCGCATCCAGCGCAGAACGGCTCGAATCGTCGATGACCAAGTGTGTTCCAATCAGCTCGATTCATTGGTGCTGGGAAGAGATATAGCATCTCTTTACATTTTCTTTGGCATCTACCACTGGGATTGCTCTGAAGAATTGTTCGGATTAATCCCAGCCGCCAAATTTCACGATCGCACTACGCGGCAAACCTCCCGATACCATCCTTATAGGGGGGGTTTGCTATAGGTGCCAAGCTTGGCAAGCGGGTTAGCAACCGAAGTTTTTTTAATTTTAGTCGTTATTAGGAAGACTTCTGCCTGTCCACCTCCTCATTTGTACCTCTTACGACACTCACTACGTGGTAAATGTTTTAAATTAAGTGTAAACCGAATAAAGGCACTCCCTCTGTGTTATGTCGGGAGTTAAGACTTGCCCAATGAAATTCTTATTCATTAAGAGCAGGAACAGAGTCGGATGTATGTAGAGTCAAAGCCAAATGTGTAGTACCAATATGCTATTAGCCCTGCTCTAGAGGCAATAAATATACGCAATCTTTTTACTTTTAACTTGAGATTGATAACCCCTAGATCTCTTAGTTGTCAGTAACAAAAAAAATCACTAGACAAATAGCTTTTATTTATGGTTTTTGTTGAAAGAACTGTTTTATTTCTTACGACTTTTTTCGAAGAGTGTTCTTTATCTATTTAACAAAAGATGTTCACTAGGAACATTCGAAACATTTGATTCACACACATAACTCGAAATATGATTAAATTCACTTTAAAGTCATTATGGTATAATCAGTTAGATGACAGCGCAAAACTGTTAAATTGGAAAGTTGACGTAATCAGTTTTTTTCTTCTGCGTACAGTGCCGATTTTAACATTACCGACGCCCTGTGCAAGATTTCTACGGGCGCCCCCGCTCTGTATACCAATATTAAACATGTGTAAAAATTAAATAAAATAATAGTTTTTTAATTACAATCGTTTATTTAAATTAAGTACACTTTTCCTAATAAAATTTTACTTTTCTATCGACAAACTCTCTTATTAAGGTATCGATGTCTGCTGCAATGTTATTTTCGATTAACAAAGTTCCCAAGTTTGTCAACTACTTTCTGCACTCGCTACTTTAGGTTACGATACTTATCGGTCTTTAATAAAATTCAAAATACATATAAGGGTAACAACATCGTCTTCATCAGGCAAAAAGGATTTCTGGCTTATGAGTTCATCACACAACGAATAACCTTTACATCCGATTTTAACCTCGTTGTTAATTTTAATTGGAAATCACCACAGAGTTTTAGAAGATCTGGTTATTCAGGAATCCTTTTTGTATAGAACAAGAAAGACCACGGTTTTGTATACTCATTTAAGTGTTCAGATCTGTCACGATAAGTTATGTCCAAAAGGCGGTTGAAAAATTCGACTTATACTTGTTGTGGTTATAAATACTGGTTCAATTTCGAGTTCTTCCGCCAATTCTATTGGTAATGAAATGACGCTTTCAAAACTCGTTTTTCTGTACTTTTTCAAGAATTTTTTGTATTTCATATTCGCTCCGTTACCATACCCAATTTAAGTCCATGTTTATCTTAACAATAATTCAGATTCATATAATCAGCTAGAATTACACCACAGGTGTCACCGATTTTAAAAAATTCTATGAAATGCTCCTTCACACTTATTTTATTTTCATTTGTTGATAAATCAACAAATCGGACTGTGAATAAAAGTTGTTCTACGTGAGTACTCGAGTGCAGTCAGGTATAATCACATAGTTCCTTCATGTTTGGTGACCTCTGCGCCCTGCCCTTACTGCTGTTACGTTGAATAATCTTTTAAACGTAGGCGTATTTTTATTATAGATAATTCCCTCAATTTCGTAACACTATAATTAATGGTTACCTCTAACTCTTTACGAGTACTAAAATATTCCATGCGACGAATATGTAGTTACCTGCATACTAAATTAATATTGATTTTCCCAAATGGACCCGCCCATAATAAAAAAGTGTATAATTTGCATAATGTTATTGATTGAATAGTTTTGCGAATTGTGTAATAAATAATATGCCTTAAAGTAATTATCATTTGAGTATTTCATTACGACATGGTATTAGATGAGTATTCCATATAGCCGTAGTAGCTCAATGGCTAAGCGCTCGGCGTATTTCACGCTATTGTACCTATTCAAGCAATCCGGGTTCAATCCTTGCCGTTACCTATGAAATTTATCACTTTTAGTGTCCGATTTTCAGGCACAGTACCATTCGATCCTTATCAAGAAAATCTACTGTTGTACAACCAACAGTCATTTTAGCACTTTTCAGCTCTGCACACATTTTAATGTTTTCTTTTTTTACTTCCCAGATTAGAAATTCTAAAAGCGGATTCGTCGCTAAAGAGCAAAGCGAAACGCAACGAATGGACTTGGAAGGCACAGACAGACGTCGTGAAATGGCAGGCGACGCCATTACGCGCACCATTGCTTCGACTCCCTGCCGCACTAGCGCCCCCTGCGCTCGAGTGCTTCACGTGTGTTCGTGCGTACTGCGGAGACCTGCAGCCCGCTGAACGAGCCGTGCATCAAGACTTGACTGAAGTGAAATGCGTATACACAGTACTGATGGTAAGAAACTAAACAGTTTGCCTGCTCTTAATGAGAGAGATAACTTGGTTTCCCTGAAGAAGTGACCGAAACGTAGGTAATTTAGGGAGGCGGCTGTATCTATGATAGGCTCATGCAGAGCCTTGTAGAACCTTCCGTGGAGCTCCTTCTCTCTCCATACGGTCTCCCGGTCGGAAATTCTATCTACTGCCGGGTCCTGCCATTGCTCTTTGATTAAAATTAGAGGGGTAAGCCCTTTATCACAAGAAACTTATTACTATATTACTTCTAAATCTCTCCAGGCGTTTTGAATTGATCGGAACAAACAAAATTTTCTCAATTTCCTGTTTTTTGTGCATTGTAATGAATCCAGTTGTCCACAGTGATCTGAACTTAGTTTTTGAATTATGAATTTCTTGATTGGTTCATCTGTAAAAATATTAGAACAAGTTATGAGTTAAAAATATTTGAAGATAATCTACTTTAATAATATACAGTTGATATTTTAAAGATATATTGGTGATATTTAGATGGTTATAAAAAAGTTAAACAAATGCCGTGTAATGGCGGCTTAAGGTAATATACACTGTAGCGGCGCTGTCGTCGCGCCACAAGCGAAAACACACCGAAGCCTAAATCGCGCTATCAACATTCCGAATCATAAACAGTATATATAGAACTTCTCCGAACTATCACATGGAGTGTTGGCCGCTCCCCGGGCAGAACACCTTGCCCGGCGGGAGATCTCCCCTTTTCCTACCACGGTCACAGTGGTGACTAAGCGACGTGATCTTGAATACACGCAACCGACAACCTTCGGAAACTTCAAGCTTCATCATCGTCCCAGAATATCCCACCCATTCGCTCCCGAGCAGATATCGTCTGCAGTCTTCATATCCTGCAAGCCATCTAGCTTCACAAGGTTCATCGCAGCACTGGAATAATAATGCTTCCTGTTCCTTCAAGCTACTCTCTGCGCTATACAGTGTTCGGCACGGCTCTGAGCCTTACTGCTCGCCTCTGCTTCACGGCACTCTCGCAGATTACTTGCCTTCTTCTCGACTCACCGCAGACTACAAGGCAATCTCCTGGCACTTGCAAATTCGTCGACAACTCGACTGCACTATCAACCTCCGGTCTGAGCAGGGGGTGATGTAGCGGCGCTGTCGTCGCGCCACAAGCGAAAACACACCGAAGCCTAAATCGCGCTATCAACATTCCGAATCATAAACAGTATATATAGAACTTCTCCGAACTATCACACGGAGTGTTGGCCGCTCCCCGGGCAGAACACCTTGCCCGGCGGGAGATCTCCCCTTTTCCTACCACGGCCACATACACTACATTTGGGTTTGTGGGAGTGTCGTTATAGGCGACTACGGAACATGCTAACAAGATCTCGTGGCTTGCGATAAATTATTAACAGTAATACAATCATCTCATTAACGCCAGATGTAAAATACCCAATGCGATTATGGGAAAGGTGGGAGAAGCTTAGAACTGTAGTAGTCAATCTGATTTTGTCGAGCGTGACGATTTAGCAAACTCTTCTTACAACAGGAGAGGTCCATATACATACTTCATTGGATTTTAATGTGCCGATGAGGTTGACTGTTGTTGTATCAGCCGACAAAATTTAAGTAGACCTGAAACTTTCTTTACTGCTACATCTACTAATATAGGCATCTTTCAAATTCACATATGATACTTATTATAAACTGTGGCTAAGATAAAGATAAAAGATGATAATAAAAAAAGTAAATAATAAATTCCCCTAATTTTACGTAACAATTTAAGAATCGAAAGTTATTACTTTAAATATTAAACGTAACCACAGTTAAATAAACTTCAAACATATTTCATGAAATTTTGAAATCGTTTTGATATTTTAAATCGTAAATTAAAAAAAAATACTATCCAAATGTTTCTTCCCCACAGCACTGTCACGCTGTGCCAGAACTGCGCGACGAGGTGTACTGCCAACTGATGAAGCAGACTACGTCCAACCGCTCCGCTGCGGCGGACTCGTGCCAGCGCGCCTGGCGCCTCATGTCCATACTCGCCGCATACTTCACCTGCTCCGAGACGCTTAGGTTAGTAGGATTCTCCATCGATAACTAACTACGAATATATAGCTGCAGTCTATGGACACCTTTTTATTGTGGAGAAATACTTATGGATACCATCAGCTGCGGGGGCTACAGAAAGGTTAAGCTAAAATAGTCTTAATTAGAGACAACTAAGGAAAGGCTATGAATATCTTGAGGCTTCCGAGAGATGGCAGTATGACCATTTTATACTGGATGGCCTTTATTAACGTCTGGTAAAAAATAGGGTGTAACATGTGAACGGAGTAGAAGGCTATGGCACTGATATTCACAAATCATATCCACCTTAGCCAGTGGCCCTGCGAAGTGTCAAAGTCAAGGATGCCTACTAAATTTATTGTTTTGTTACCGTTCGAAAAGTAGCGTGGATATGATTTTAATTTCGATAAATTTTAATTTATTTATTTATTAAATTCAATTTTTTTTGTAAAATATCAGTATCAATAATTATATCAGATATAAACTCCCCATACCAGCGGCAGAAAGCAGTGGCAAAGATGAGAGTTACAGTTCACTTGAGAGTAAGTGGTTGCTGTGGCCCATAGACATCTACATCTATCCTCGATTACAAATCAAAATGCAGATGCGTTGTTACCCGTGAGGACTTAGATGCAATGCCTCGTTTCCAGTAAAAAGGGTCTCCAGTTCTCTACACTCACCACACGAAACAGCAGCATTAAGTTACTATTACACGCTGGTATTCTGTGAGAGCGTATTGCCGACCCATTCATGCTACAACTATACTACTAATATAACATCTTATATAGTTACATGCAGCATGGCTCTACCACGTAACCCACGTACCTATGGACACTAATTTCAAACAAGACTACATACTCGATGTCACCTCTGAGGACTAAGATGAAATACCTCACAACCTGTAATTATACTTGATCTATATTCCATACAGTTCGGAACACAACAGCAGTGCAGGCACTGTTGTTTGATGGCAAAAATGGGTAGAGGTTACCTACCCATACGGACTCCTAGAAAGAAGAGAAATCCTACAACGTAGAAACGTTAATATACACTGTTGCGTGCCATAATTTCCTTGCTAGAACTTTCGACATTCTACTCGAACATTCTAGATGTTTTCAGTAGAAAAGGTCCTATATAAAGTCTGTAAAGAGCTCGACCGGGGAGTATTGAATTGACGATTCAAGTAAAGACTTCAGAGCGAAGTGTGATTAATTATTAGTGTGCTTTAAGTTTTAATTGGTGTTCGGTAATTAAAGTGTCAATTTTGGTAAAATTTAATCGGCAGTTTTCATTGTCACGAACCTTAAGCTCGCAACAAAACTTATTTGCTATAAGTTCGATAACGGTTGTAAAGCCAAGTAGTATTTGATGGTGATCTTTTATTGCAGAGTTGTCTATCTGTGTTGAGCCCACACTCTAACTTATTTGTACCGCCAAACAACAGTGCACCCGTTTCTTAGTTCCGATTTGAAAGAGAGCCAGTATAATAAAGAGTTGTTGAGATATAGTTTTCAGGGGTGACAACGTATATGGGGTCTTTTTGCTTGATGTAATTCGCAGATAATTAATATAACAGCATTTGTTTATAAGCAAGTTAGTTTATATCAGTTTATAGTGTATTGTTACTAACTAGTAAATATACATGGTGTAAATTCTACAGCATATGAGTTTACGATGTCACTTAATAAAAATAAGTTTTAGTACATTCTTTTTATATACTCGTAATAAATCTTCTGTCTGTAATTGTTGTTGCACTTAGAGTGATTAATTTTTATTGTGAATATGTTGTTCAAATAAATTAAAAAAATATGCCCGAACGAAACACATTTTCAGGATACTAGAAAATACATAGTGATGACTCATTTTCTGGTATCACAACTAATTTTCCAGATTTTCCGAAACCGAGATAAATTATTTTAAAACAAATACGAGAAAAATATTTATAAACCTAAAATATAAAGAAAGTACTTTCATATTTATATATATGACCGCATTATGTATAAAACTGTTCATTCCAGGCCTTTCCTGGTGGAATACTTATCAGCGGCAGCAGCAGATAGACGAAGACCATGTCAAGGAACGGCGGCCGTGTGCCTCGCTAACTTGAGAAAGACACTGAGGTGTGGTGGAAGAAAGAACGTACCCAGCGTCGAAGAGGTAAGTTTCAGTTTTAAATAAGGTTGGTCTTTCGAGCTGGATCATATGATTCAATAGTAAAGCATTTTTCTAAATTTATTAACAACGTGGCAAGAAACTTATTTCCCAATTTCGTCTAAAGAGTAATAAGTGAGTAAGGGAAATTCTGGTAAAATCTAAAAGTTTTGATGGTTAGCTTTACGCCATCTCGTATACGCCAGACGTCAAAAACCTTGACCGATGACAGACAACAGCACCAAGGTTGCAAAACATCTGGTACCGCGATCCTCATGCCGAGCGTGATGGTTAATGTAAATTCTCCCACCAATGGGCGTGATATCCAGCCGTGACCTTTTGTGAGCTCGATATGGAGATTTTAAATAATATTCTGTATATCACATTAGGTTCTAAATATAATAAAGTTATTAATTCATACTCATATTATTGCAACAACCCAAGTACAGAGTACTACGCAGTGGGTCCTGGAATATAATTACATCTGGAGCCTTTGTAAGAACACAAATTGTTGATTTGAGAGTGAAAATATGTTTAATTATGTTGTCTCACTCTTATTTTTGTAACATGAGTCAGAGTGAAATTGATCTATCAATAAATACGACTAATTGGTTACATGTTAATTTCGATAGTTTTTAACTGATTTATTTATTTAGTTATGGTTTAAGACATTTATTTTCTCAAAAGAGTTACAAATCACAGAGAAAATACTTATTATAAAGAAAAATAATACATTAAGCCGATTGGCGTAGTGAGCTAGTATTATAATAGGTCGCTAAAACTTATTTTCTAATTGAGTGCTTAATAATTTATTTAATAATAATTACACATAAATAGGGTAGTTGCAAAAGTATTCGTACCAAAGCTATGCTAAAGCTTATTAATAAAGCTTTAAAAATATTGTTATGTTTAGTACCGAAATTTTATTTCCAATTAGTATAGCATTTATTGATAGATCAATTTTATTATATGCTAATGTAAAACAAAATAAAAAATTGTAGTCTGTCATAGGCTTCTATTCCATTCACCTGTTACATCCAATTTTTTTCCAGACGGTAAATAAACCACCCAGTATATTTTGCGTTAGTTGATAGCTTCAAACAGTATTCGAAAGTTATGGCCGAGGTCGAAACCGGCTAGCCAACGTCAATATCGTTAGCACAATGATTGTCATCACCATCAGCACTGTGATCATGGTCATGATCGTTCCAGGTGACGGCGGTGTCGGCGGGCCGGTCGGCGCGCCGCCAGCTGTACCGGCTGCCCGGCGGCGCCGAGCGCGTCGTCAACACGCGCTGCGCCACCGTCGTGCAGGACATCGTCAATGAGCTCTGCGAACTGGTGCGTGACATGTGCTGCCCTCTATAATATAACTATACTATACTCTGCATGGAGGTTAAAGAACAGGAGAACGATCGCTACGTACTAAAGCATAGCCCGCCTGTAATTGAAAATTGTAGAATTTATAGTGGCGCTGACGTCGGTGAGTAATGACTGCGAAGTTAGCTGTTTATGAGTACAAGTTGAATAATGTACAAATTTTCTTCGCGGCATCGGTGAGAAAATTTTCATGCTCCGTAATTTTTTTAATTTTTGACAAAAAGAAACGTTAAAAATAGAGAAATATTTAATTGTGCGTGAATGTGCAAGTGGTTTAGCATCTGATCGGAAAAATAGACTGAAAATTACTTTTATTGAGCGAACTTAGCGATCGCAGCGCCTCACTTATGGTGTCCATATTTCTGGGACACTATTTTCTACGGCGATCGTTCTCTTGTTGTCTAACCTCCATGATAATCTGGCTTCCTCGTGGGTTTAGTACTCGTAAACACGATTATTTATCATGAGGTCCAAAACAGTGGGCTTTTCTGTTAAGGAATTCTCAGTAGAAGCCCGGAATCAGAAAGGTGGCGGTGTTTCATTCGTTAAGCATATAAAGCCTCGGGTCCTGCGACTGGTCTCTCTCCGGTCAAGTTGGTTAACCTCCTATCAGACTATCACACTAATAGTAATAATAGAGCATACAGAATATACTTGTACTTGCGCATACTCTTGGGCACCATAATCCCGTCCTGCGCAGATGGCTAGGGAATCCGTTGAGAATGTACGCCGTGACCGAAATTCGGTCTGCAGGACATTATTATACTATACTTTACTCCTTTGCTAGCCTGTTCTTAAAAGTTTCTCAAGCGTACGTTTCGTAGCAATTCATCTATTACAACAAGATGTAATGGTGAATTGAATTCACTGTTTTAAAAATTAGTTGGCTTATTTACTATGCCTTAGTTATTTTAGGTGATTATTCGACGTGTCCAATATTGTTTGGTATACAAGTCCGCAGTAAAACCAAGTACATATACAGCTCCAAGTAAAGACTGCCTTATTGAAATTTAAATGTTTACTGATATTTAATTATAAATTTAAAATATTTTTCGAAACTTGAATGTTGCTTGTTATGTCGTGTCTGGTTGTCTATTGCTGATCTTCCCAGGCTGCTTTAAAGTACGGTTTTGAGCTACCTCAACATATTAACTGACTATAAAGTTCATATTAAGTGTTAAGAGATTTTTTTAATTTAGCTTTTCACATATCTGTGTCAAGATCTGTGATATATTTACAATTTCTAACGACTAACGAGAACTTAAAATCTTTTAACCATTTTTCTTTTAATTTTATTTTTATTTTTCTAACTCTCATAGTTTACTATTAAAATAAATGATAATATATAAGTTGCACGTTTTATAAGATGTGTCTTTCAAGTAGGTCTGCCTTTCTATCTTTTACAATTTATTCATTGTACATGCAGGCTATTTTCTAGGTCATTGTAAAAGTTTTGCAATGAAAATGGTTAATGATAGAACATTACTCTTGTATTTATTAGTAGTAACTATCAAAGATCTGATAGCGATATAAAATGACATTAATTATATAAATCTAATGATAATCGGCAGTCAATGCAGCAAAAGCGTAAGTTTCACAAGTTTCGCTTTTGAAAGTAATAAATACTTCTCGTTTTAGAGGCATCTATGGGAGGAGAGGCGGAGGCGAGTTCAGTAGTGGACTTTGATAGGCTATAATAAATTAAAATGAATGAAAGTTTATGACCATAAAATACTATAATACACAATAGAATGGCTGTCAACCTTATTTTGTACGACAATAGGCGTCGCCGGGAGCACACATACAAGCAATAACATCGTATTATCACTACTACAAACCCAATTTGCCGTGTTGATAGATTTCTAAAAAATTTGCATGTGAAATTTGGAAACGATTGTAACGTCAAAACACATTTCGTGTTGACATTTATACGTGTGAATTGACGTGTTAGTGACATTTTAGTGGCTACACGGGCTCCGCCCACTCCCCCGTTCTATTATGTATGTAATTATATTCTATGTTTGTGACAGTTTATAGCAGTTATTAACGGCATGGTCTATGTTACCTTCGTTATTAAGACATACAATCCAATTAAGATAATTTATAAAAATGAGGCATATATAAATAAATCACGTACATATCAGTCAAAAATATTATCAACTTTTTGGGCGTCATTTTAGTTTAACGCGTTATTTGTCATTATAGGTTACTATTGGCAATCAACTACCACTACAAATCGCGCACTAAACATAAACAATTTTGTTTAATTATCTTCCGATCATCACCCCTATCAGCGTCATTATCAACCCACCATCTTCATCACCGAGTTAATTAACTGATGAATTCTATAAACAATAATATAATTTATTGCAACAGTAAATGTAACATTACATAATCTTAATATATATAAATTACGTGTCACGTTGTTTGTCCGCGATGGACTCCTAAACTACTTAACCGATTTTAATCAAATTTGCACACCGTTTGCAGTTTGATCCAACTTGAAAGATAGTATATTTGTTTTGCCGATGAGTGACCCACAATTTTTTTTTCTTTTTTGCAAATTTAACGATTTTTAATAGGACTTGACAAAGGGTCGTCGAAAAGGGCAGAACAACGTCTGCCTGGCAAGCTAGTACACATTATATTTTGAAGTGAAAACCTCGATGAAACGAATAAGCGACCCAAAAGCGAGATTGAGACAGCGAGAGAGATAATTTTTAAAAGAATACTATTGCTAGTATTTTTTTTAATACAACATTTCGTATTATCTCGGTCTACTCTTTGTGTGGTGCTTTAAAGATGGTTAGTATAAATCTTAATTGCTAATAAAAATATTTAAAAAATTTAAAAAAAATATTAAATAAATTGAACCATATTGAAAAAATTAAGTTTATGTACCAATCCATTAATAACAATCCACGATTTCATAACTTCAGGCCGTCTAGCGTCTATTTTAAAAAGTATCTTGAGAGTCAATCAAGTTTTATTCGATACAGGTCGTAGAATTAAAAATTTCGTACAACCTACTTCAATATATACAAAATGAAAACATCATAAATGTAGTTAAAAGTCAATCAAATATGCATTAATAAGGATAACTCAAAAACTACTAGTCAGAACTTGATTAAATTTATGTGAGACCACACGAGAAGCATCAGCTTTCGAATACAATAAGAATCACACATAAAAAAATAAACGTACAGTTGAATTGAGTACCACCTCATTTTGGAGATCGGTTGAAAAATTACTTTTCCTATACAATGAAGTAGATTGCGCTATTACGGAGCGATTTTACTCGAAGAAAATATTCTTTTGATATTTCACTAAAATATAGGTTAAAAATAAGATTCTAAATTTTATTTGCTACAAAATTTAAGTTTTATTTTATATTTTATGCCGTAATTGTGTTTGAAACTATCATATCAAATAAATCATTTGTCGATAATTATTTTAATTTTATATTTCATTTCATTTGAAGGGTTTTACTTTTACTGCGTGTTAACTATATATATATATATATATATATATATATATATATATATATATATATATATATATATATATATTTTAATCCTTCAAGGTGAATAAATTAACGCCCCCTGTCCCTTGCATTCTCTTTTGGGTGCTATTGAGTATGCATAGAAAGGATAATTACTGTCTTGTTGTAGTGCAACTACTAATCATGTGATTCTGGATTCAAAACCCTAGTCAGGGCAAAATCTTTTTTTCACAATTTTTCCACTTTTACCTTGGAAAGCACGTCAAGCTGTTGTTCTTACGTCGGATCTCTCTCCATTCGTGTCGTTCCATCGAGCTATGAGAGTGAGGGAATAGAGAGTGCACCTATGCTAGCGTACACAGTCGTGCGTTATAATTTGAGAATTTGAGATTGCTAGTCTTCGTTGGGACTGGCCGTCGTTACCGTGATTCGGTCTGGAGGACTGTCAATATATGAAAAGGATTGTCCGTGTGCAGATCGGCGTAAGCAGCGAGGCGGAGCGCGCGGAGTTCTCGTTGTACTGCATCGTGGCAGGCGACGCGCTCACCATGCCGCTGGCGGGTGACGAGTATGTGCTGGACGTGACCACGGAGCTGCAGCGCGCGCATCACCCCTTCTACCTCATCTTCTGCCGCTCCGTGTGGCACCACCCGCTGCGCACCGATGCGCCGCCGCTCTACACCGAAGTGCTCTTCAACCAGGTCAGTCCTCTTATTAGTATCCTCTCTCCCATCCACTATGAAGTGCTAGATTCATGCTGCTGTGAAATAACAGCACAGAGGATGCACTTTACTATAACTAAGAAGAAATAAGTGTATGCAACAAATTATAATAAAATTTTGTAAATTTTATTTGTTTCATAATATTGTAAATTAAAGTTTCGCGCTTCCTATGTTTTATACAATCATGTACTATTCACTTAATTTAGAATGTGAACATATAGACTAGTTGAATGTAGCAAGCAAAATGGGAAGGTATTGAAGAGGTGTTAAGAGCAAATGCGGGTTGCAGGTGGCGCCGGACTACCTGGAGGGGTTGCTGCTGGTGCTGCCGGGCGGCGCGGCGCCGGGCGCGGGCGCGCTGCGCGACGCGGCGCTGGTGGGCGCACTGCTGCACCGCGCCGCCGGGCTGGCCGACGCGCCGCACGCGCGCGACCTCAAGTACCTGCTGCCCAAGCCACTGCTGGCGCTGCGCGAGCCGCGCGCCGCCAAGTGGGCCACCTGGGTGGCTGCCGAGTGGCCCGCAGCGCGCGCGCTTTCGCCGCCGCAGGCCAAGGCCAACGTGCTGCAGGTCCGTACACACGCACACGCACTTCCCACTAGCATGTGAACCAAATGAATGAATGAAAAATGAACCAAAGCGCAAGGTGATAATTCGCTTTTGAATTTATTGAATGACTCTGCATATATAGAAAGGCTCCGTATTTTTACGTCTCCGACACATAGGACGTCAGCAGATTTTAACGACGCTTCATGAGCGCTATGACAGAACGGTGACATTCATTCCGCTGCTCGATTACTATTTTATTAATGCAGGGATAGTACACAGACTTTCAGCTAGATTTCTTGTTTAAAAATAAGGGCGACAAACAAATACACAGTATGGTAAGAATCAAATGCCTCGTTTCCAATAAAAAAAGCCTCCGGTTTGCTACTCTCATTTCATTAAGCTCCTTTTTTTACAATAGTACTTTTGAGAGTGTGTACCTATACATAGATATAGGTCGCTCCACAAAAGATGAAATTAAATAGTCACGCATGTACAATCAAGCAGAAAAATGAAAATTTTATTATGGCATTTTAATATGTAAAAAGTCAAAGGTCAACATTATAACTACACATCAAATCACGAAACGGAACGATATAAATCATTAGGTTTTAACTGCTTCTAAATAATATTATGCATTTTATAGCGCGTCGCCCGTTGCTATGGTTTCGCTTCCCCGTACCTCACACCTCACCGTGCCGACACCTATTTTTCGCTTCTGTCCACTTCCATGACTCGTGGCCTTGCCTATACTAGCCTAACTTCAGTATTGCTCTAGCATTGAAGTAATATATATATTATGTATATATATATATATATATATATATATATATATATATATACCACGTACTAAAAGAGACTCCCAGACTAGGTTGTTTGCAACACGTGTTAGAGCCCACGTGCTCAAAGTTACTTAGTCTTAAAGTACTCTGTGCCTCCAACTACGCGCTCCACACTGTGGCGTACCACACTGACTTTGTTCGCGGTGTTGTAATACGTAGGAGATATTACTGGAATGGGCAAGAACGTGTAAACCTCGTGGTGAGACGTGTCGTTAGTCTATATAATAAAAAGGTATTCCGTGGCTCCGTGCACTGGCGCACCGATCGTGTTCGCGGTTCCCTAGTACGCCGTAGATATTGGTGCAATGATCCCGTGGTGCGCGCAGGTGCTGTCGCGCTGGCCGCTGTTCGGGTCGTCGTTCTTCGCAGTGCGGCGCGTGGCGGGCGCGGGCGAGTGGCGCGAGCACGTGCTGGCGCTCAACCGGCGCGGCGTGCACCTGCTGCACCCCGCCACGCACGAGACCGACACGCACTGGCCCTACTCCGACCTCATCTCCACCAGGAAGGTACGTCCCACCATATATACATACAATGCACATGTGTAAGTTATTCTCCCTAATTCCTTTAGCGGACTGTGAGTGGCCGAGAAAACTAGTGGGGAAAAAAACTCTTTCTTAGAAAGAATCAGGGAGAAACCCAGCAGTACTTTCTTTCAACAATTTTTGCATACTATTTTTTTATTTTTCATAAATAGGTCATGGACATTTTGAAGTGTCAGGAAGATTTCATGGTACACAATGCGGGTATAACCATCTCGTTTGCTAAAATACTCAAGCTGGCGACGGGCAGCACCATATAGGGAGCAAGACGTCTGGCATGCTATCGGCATTTCACCTTCCAATCATGAATATTAACACATATCATTATTTAAACGAGAAAGTCCCATATCAAGCATAGGACTACTATAAACTGATAACGAAGAAAAAGACCATACTAACATATGTATGTCCACTTTACGTACATTGATTGACCTGTCACTTGATTTGTTTTACAGGTCGCGACTACCTACAACTACTGTTGCATAAAATCAATTGTATATAATAACGTAATAACTTATCACCTTTTCATTTAGAGGCCAGTGAAAAATGCTGTAAAGTAAATAAGTTTTAGGTTATATAACCTGTCAATTGTACACTATTGTATACTATGATGTGGAAAGAAAAATAACTCACCACACCATAGTATAAAACCACAAAAAACCATATCTCATCATAAAATAATAAAATATGTAACAAAAAGCAATTTATTATTTTGAACATTCATAAATCACATGACGAATAATAGATTTTCATAATGATTTCTTATATTTACGCGAACACTACACATTGAAATAATACTAGTTTACTTTTCTGTTCAACAAGAAAACATATTATTTAAATGTTTTTGCTTTTAAAACTTAACAGAGGTGAATACAGATATAATAATAACAAAAATTATACTATCATCCTAATTTTTCGACTTCAAAAAATTTATATATTTCTATTTTACGAACACTACACATTGAAATAATACTAGTTTTTACGTTTTCTGTTCAACAAGAAAACATATATTTGAATATATTTAACTATACATATGGACGTTGAACATCTCAATCCTGCCGTGACCATGAGTGCTGTAAGCGTTCGAAACGTCGGGTTTAAATAACACGCTCCGTAAACTATATTATTTCAATAATAAGATTTTCATGATCTGTGAAACGAAATGTGTAAAACACGTTTTTTTAAATATATTTTGGTATGGCTTCTGAGCCTTAAGCCATTTTAAAACGCGTTCCGTCTCCAAAAGTCTATTGAGAATGATATACATAGTAATATTACTTTTTTTCCTGACTTTATTGGAAAATTCAATTATACGACATAAAATAAGGAAAATAAAGGTAATTTATAAGATATTTTACATCACTAGACGCGTTAGAAAATTTTCAGGTCAAGATTCGACATGATTCTTTGTATTTTCCAATGGTCCTCCGAGCCAGACACAAGCTATTGTTACGCGCTCAAATCGACAATACACTAGCGCCATCTAGTGTCAGGAACGAGAGCGAGGGGAGCATTGAGAAAATGACATCACAAAGGAGAGTTGATCGATCTCGAGAGGGTAGTACAGCTAACGGTACTGCCTGGCGGCGACAGGATCATCGTTCACCTCACGCTAGGGAGGTTACAGCAGTTACGGTTCGCGACCACAATAAAAGATACAGCCCTAGGTGCTATGGCTGTGGGGAAAGGGGCCATCTTCGGTCCAGCTGCCCTAAGCACACCCTAGGAAGGGAAGGTGAACGGTCTCAGAAAGGAAGTGCGGCTAACAGCACCGCCCAGCAGCAGCAGGAATACGACTTTACTATCAGACACTGCAGCGGGAAATCTCACGGCAACGCAGATGCATTGACAAGAAGACCTTGTCCTGAAGATTGCAACCATTGTAGTAGGCAAGAGAGTAAGGAAGTGGTATCCGTGAGGATGCTCAGGACAGACCACCTCAGCAACGGGTGGAAGGACAGCCTACGACATGCACAGCAGGAATATCCGGACATCAAGCCGATTCTGGGATGGATGAAGGCCCGTGCTACCAAGCCTAAGTGGAGGGACGTCTCAGCGATGAGTTCAACCACGAAAAGCTATTAGGCCCAATGGGACAGCTTGCTGATTCAGGATGGAGTCCTGTGCCGTAAATGGGACAATGGTCGAAGGGACAGCTGTCGTTTGCAAATGGTTGTCCCTAAAGCTAAAGTGCCGAATGTTCTACAGCAGTGCCATAATGGTCGTTCAAGAGTCCATCTGGGAGTTAAACGAACTCTACTGAAGGTCCGAGAACAGTTTTACTGGGTCCATTATCGTGACGATGTCGAGGATTGGTGTCGTACATGTACAAGTTGTGCGGCCGTGCGGGGACCTCAGACACGTAGTAGAGGAGCACCGAAATTGTACAATGTTGGTGCACCACGGGATAGAACAGCCCTTGACATTGCGGAGCCGTTACAGAAAGGCGCAAGAGGGACTCCTAAGATCGTCCATGTGGATCGCTTGGCGCGTTATTATGGGGCCGATAATGCTCGGGACGAGCATGTCTTAGGAGGGGGCAGTGTTACGCGCTCCAGTCGACGATACACTAGCGCCATCTAGTGTCAGGAACGAGAGCGAGGGGAGCATTGAGAAAATGACATCACAAATCACTCAACCGACAGCGCCTAGTCGAAACTCGAATGCTCGGTACCTTGCGCGTGTTTACTTGAACATTCTGGATATTTCTTTGCTAATTTAAATATATAGGCGCTGCAAGATGCGATCGAAGTAGAGTTGAACTCGGCGATACAAGCGAAGCTTCGGAGCGGAATTAAGTGAATTAGTGTGTTTAAATTATTAGTGTTTTTAGTTTTAATTTGTGTAAAGTAAATTAAAGTGTTAATTTAGGTAATTTTATCGGCAATTTTTATTGTCACGAACCTCAAGCTCGTAACACTATTATATATAGCGACTGATCTTATTTAATATGTTTTGTGTATTTTATAATTCTTCCAAGTTTGATAACATCGATTTAACCTGTCATGTTGTTTCCCAGGTGCGGTCTGAGGACGGCACGCTGTTCCTGGACGTGAAGGTGGGGTCACTGCTGCAGCAACGGGTGACGAGACTGCAAGCCGAGCAGGCGCACGAAGTGGCACGCCTCGTGCGGCAGTACGTCGCGCTGCAGCGGGACCAGCGCCACTCGCCCGGTGAGCACCGCACTGTGACGTGAAGGTGGCGCGGCTCGTGCGGCAGTACGTCGCGCTGCAGAGAGACCAGCGCCACTCGCCCGGTGAGCACCGCACTGTACCGTGAAGATGGCGCGCCTCGTGCGACAGTACGTCACGCTGCAGCGGGGCCAGCGGCACTCGCTCGGTGAGCACCGCACTGTGCCGTGAAGGTGGCGCGCCTCGTGCGGCAGTACGTCACGCTGCAGCGGGACCAGCGGCACTCGCTCGGTGAGCACCGCACTGTGCCGTGAAGGTGGCGCGCCTCGTGCGGCAGTACGACACGCTGCAGCGGGACCAGCGGCACTCACTCGGTGAGCACCGCACTGTGCCGTAAAGGTGGCGCGCCTCGTGCGGCAGTACGTCGCGCTGCAGCGGGACCAGCGCCACTCGCCCGGTGAGCACCGCACTGTGCCGTGAAGGTGGCGCGCCTCGTGCGGCAGTACGTCACGCTGCAGCGGGACCAGCGGCACTCGCTCGGTGAGCACCGCACTGTGCCGTGAAGGTGGCGCGCCTCGAGCGGCAGTACGTCACGCTGCAGCGGGGCCAGCGGCACTCGCTCGGTAAGCACCGCACTGTGCCGTGAAGGTGGCGTGCCTCGTGCGGCAGTACGTCGCGCTGCAGCGGGACCAGCGCCACTCGCCCGGTGAGCACCGCACTGTGCCGTGAAGGTGGCGCGCCTCGTGCGGCAGTACGTCGCGCTGCAGCGGGACCAGCGCCACTCGCCCGGTGAGCACCGCACTGTGGCGTGAAGGTGGCGTACCTCGTGCGGCAGTACGTCGCGCTGCAGCGGGACCAGCGCCAGTCGCCCGGTGAGCACCACACTGTGCCGTGAAGGTGGCGCGCCTCGAGCTGCAGTACGTCGCGCTGCAGCGGGACCAGCGCCAGTCGCCCGGTGAGCACCGCACTGTGCCGTGAAGGTGGCAAGGTGGCGCGCCTCGAGCTGCATTACGTCGCGCTGCAGCGGGACCAGCGTCACTCGCCCGGTGAGCACCGCACTGTGCCGTGAAGGTGGCGCGCCTCGTGCGGCAGTACGTCGCGCTGCAGCGGGACCAGCGCCAGTCTCCCGGTGAGCACCGCACTGTGCCGTGAAGGTGGCGCGCCTCGTGCGGCAGTACGTCGCGCTGCAGCGGGACCAGCGCCAGTCGCCCGGTGAGCACCGCACTGTGCCGTGAAGGTGGCGCGCCTCGAGCTGCAGTACGTCGCGCTGCAGCGGGACCAGCGCCAGTCGCCCGGTGAGCACCGCACTGTGCCGTGAAGGTGGCGCGCCTCGTGCGGCAGTACGTCGCGCTGCAGCGGGACCAGCGCCAGTCGTCCGGTGAGCACCGCACTGTGCCGTGAAGGTGGCGCGCCTCGAGCTGCAGTACGTCGCGCTGCAGCGGGACCAGCGCCAGTCGCCCGGTGAGCACCGCACTGTGCCGTGAAGGTGGCGCGCCTCGTGCGGCAGTACGTCGCGCTGCAGCGGGACCAGCGCCAGTCGCCCGGTGAGCACCGCACTGTGCCGTGAAGGTGGCGCGCCTCGTGCGGCAGTACGTCGCGCTGCAGCGGGACCAGCGCCAGTCGCCCGGTGAGCACCGCACTGTGCCGTGAAGGTGGCGCGCCTCGAGCTGCAGTACGTCGCGCTGCAGCGGGACCAGCGCCAGTCGCCCGGTGAGCACCGCACTGTGCCGTGAAGGTGGCGCGCCTCGAGCTGCAGTACGTCGCGCTGCAGCGGGACCAGCGCCAGTCGCCCGGTGAGCACCACACTGTGCCGTGAAGGTGGCGCGCCTCGAGCTGCAGTACGTCGCGCTGCAGCGGGACCAGCGCCAGTCGCCCGGTGAGCACCGCACTGTGCCGTGAAGGTGGCGCGCCTCGAGCTGCAGTACGTCGCGCTGCAGCGGGACCAGCGCCAGTCGCCCGGTGAGCACCACACTGTGCCGTGAAGGTGGCGCGCCTCGAGCTGCAGTACGTCGCGCTGCAGCGGGACCAGCGCCACTCGCCCGGTGAGCACCACACTGTGCCGTGAAGGTGGCGCGCCTCGAGCTGCAGTACGTCGCGCTGCAGCGGGACCAGCGCCAGTCGCCCGGTGAGCACCGCACTGTGCCGTGAAGGTGGCGCGCCTCGAGCTGCAGTACGTCGCGCTGCAGCGGGACCAGCGCCAGTCGCCCGGTGAGCACCACACTGTGCCGTGAAGGTGGCGCGCCTCGAGCTGCAGTACGACGCGCTGCAGCGGGACCAGCGTCACTCGCCCGGTGAGCACCGCATTGTGCCGTGAAGGTGGCGCGCCTCGAGCTGCAGTACGTCGCGCTGCAGCGGGACCAGCGCCAGTCGCCCGGTGAGCACCGCACTGTGCCGTGAAGGTGGCGCGCCTCGAGCTGCAGTACGTCGCGCTGCAGCGGGACCAGCGCCAGTCGCCCGGTGAGCACCACACTGTGCCGTGAAGGTGGCGCGCCTCGAGCTGCAGTACGTCGCGCTGCAGCGGGACCAGCGCCAGTCGCCCGGTGAGCACCACACTGTGCCGTGAAGGTGGCGCGCCTCGAGCTGCAGTACGTCGCGCTGCAGCGGGACCAGCACCACTCGCCCGGTGAGCACCGCACTGTGCCGTGAAGGTGGCGCGCCTCGTGCTGCAGTACGTCGCGTTGCAGCAGGCTGCAAAGGAATGGGCTCACGTGGTACACAATGAGGTTTTGCGCCTTTTTACATGCGGAAATGCTTATCGGCCTATGCGGGAGAAGGACGGAACGCTTTTACACACATTTACGACCCCACCTAGCGCCGGCCGCCCCATGGCAACCACTCATCCGGAGCGGAAAATTCCTCCCCTTCTCTTTCTCAGGTAAGGTGCATCGGAGCACTAAGAGCGCCGAACTCTAAAAGTGTTACTAGTGTTATTTTTGAATATAATATAAAATATTTCTGACTAAAATCTCATTCCCTTTAACTGCTTTTTTAAAATACCGGATGAACTTTTTACCGTCTGGAAAAAAACAGGACGTTACATATGAACGCGGTAGAAGCATATGGGCACTGATGTTTTACAAAAAATAAAAACAAAAATTTTGATTTTAATGAATTCAAATCATATTTACCCTAGCCTGTGTTAATCAGTTGGATTTTAACATTATTTTCATCATTTTTATGTATCCTAGCGTGACGGTCACGCGAGCTTAGTGCTTTTTCCCCATCTCAAAAGTACCCAACGTGCTCAAAGAAGTTTTCCTTCAAAAGTTTTCACTTATCAAATTGTGAAAAAAAGGAAGAGACCATTTTTGAAGACAGTTAAAATCTTTTGAATTACCAAGTTGATAATATTATTTTTTCTCTTTCAGGATTCAACGCATGAGTGCATTTTGAACACATCGGAATGGATTGAAACTAAACTTAACTGTATAGTGTGCATGTAAAATAAAACCTCCAAGGAATTGAAATTAGTCTTATAAAGATTTAAATTGAAAAATTATAAAGATTTTGAATTTTGTAAAACAAACTCGATATACGAATGCGATTGGGTAAAGCTAGGAAAAAATAACATTAAAAAAACAAGATTTTTTTTATGTTATGCGTTCCGAAATCAACTTTTTTTCTGTAAGTATCTGTTGTTTACTAATAACAATAATCCTAGCTTTGTCCATACGATTAAAATGATAATAGGATTTTTAGGCACAACATGTACGTGTTTAATTATTAGAAAACGCGTCTATTCTTATATATTAGATACTTCTATTTTCATTTTAGTCATTTCTTAATTCACTTTTGTGTCTATGAATTATCAATCGATCATTATAAATATTTTAGGAAATAATATATTTTACGTTCTTTGTAATTAATTCCAAAATAAATAAGATCCACCAAATAAATATAGTACCACTACGAAATAAATAATATATTACTTTGTAGAACAACGGCTCGTTACTTAAATGTAAGAATTACAATGCAAATTTGAAGTACTTGTTACATTCCTTCTTATTTTCTATGTAACGCAATAAGGTAAAATTTTTCATCACAACAATAATTTTTAGGTACTCACATAAATGTATTTTTTGCAATATATTAAACGATGTTATACTATATTTTGTTGTCAATGGAGTTCGTATTATGGTTTTATAGTATCGATTTTTCTGTCAACAAAATTAAAATTACAACTCTAATAAAAAAAAATTTAAATTAAAACATTCTGAAATATTTTTTACAAATCGTTTATTCGAACTGTAATCAGAGTGAACGAGAGTACGGAAGCTTCATATAAGCGTCTTGCAGAAAAAAAATAAGGTGATGATCGCGTCGTAGTATTAAATGTTAAATATTCCACGCATTTGAGCCAAACGGTCCGCTCCGTCTTTCGTAATGAGTACAGCAAATGAGTGGGATAATTTGCCGGCGTGTCTTTCCATTCAATAACAATTCGAATGTCTTCAAGGTATTGAATTGGCTTTTGTAACCCTAAGACAGTACGATTTACTATCTATGGCTTCATCACCACCTACCACCAGGTGGCATTGTAGTCAATAACTGGCTTATAAGAATTAAAAAAAATATATCGCGTTATTCTCGCTGTCTGTTATTTATTTTCTTTTTTCTTTTGACTTTTGGCGTGAACTTGGCCAACGACGGACTGTCGCTCCTGTTTTGTCACTTGAATAATGGTTTGAAGTGGATTTTAATTCGTAAAAGTGATGTGATTTTGTGAATTAAGTGTCTGCGCGTGTGAACTATTAGAGAAAACGACGAAACAAGATGTTGATATAAGCCTCAAGTTATTTTGATCACTTGGGTACCCTATGAGCTTGAGTGGCTGTTGTCATCAACAGTCCGCTGGGTTGAGCTGTCGTCAAAATCTCCCAAAAATATATAAAATGAAGATTCTGAAAGAAATGATAGGCTCAAAAGGGCTAGTACCCAGAGCCGTAAAGCCAGTTAAATGAAAAAATTCTTCTATTTTCTTGTTTCGGCATGCTTGTGTGCGTTCGTTGCAAAACGCGTGCATGAAACTTCCGCACTCTTGTTCACTCTGTTATAAGTTATAACGGTGCTATTATTAATATACTGTTATATTTCTTGTACTCGTAACCACCAGGGACTTGAAAACCACATGTTAAAGACATACATTTTTACTGATGAAGAACATTTGCTCAATTTTACAACAGTATTATTTATAAAAACAATATTATAGATAAAATTATGTGACTGGCTTTAAAATAATACAGATTAGTTATCTTATAAATAACCATGCAAATTTTGTTGTTTATACTAAGTAATATAATAAATTTTTAATATCAAGTCTCTGGATTTTATGTTTTTAGGTTATATATCTTTCGTTTTATATGTCGTCTAAATGCCCAAAGACCGCTGCGGTCGGAGTCATGTTTATTGTACTTTAGGGAGTTATTTTGTTGTCATGTAATATATTTAAATTAATCGATGTGTAATGAGAAAATATTGTAGATATCAATAAAGAGTATATTTTAATGCTGTTGGTTTATTTTTTAATCGTAATATCATATAGTTCTTTAGAGTTCAACTACCAGATATCATCCCGTGGGTGTCGTAAAAGACGTCAAAAACTAACCACCCCTAAAAAAAAAACCGCCCTTGAAGCAAATATCCTCTGATCTCGGTAACGTCTTACGATAGGCTGTATTGAATAAATAAATTAGTATCGTAGAGTTTAAAAAAACGACGTTGTACGTTGTAGAGCTATATTATGGTTGTAGATCGAGTGTGTTGGCTCGACCGGGGAAGAAGCACGCTCTCTTAAAAGCGTAAAATAGCAGTTTAATTCTAAGAATGACTGGAAAGGATTCATGCCATCTTAGTCCTCATGGGTGGGACAACACATCTGCATTGATTCTCATTCGAGGATAGATGTAGATGTTTATGGGCCACGACACCCACTTAAGAGGAGTATTATAAAAAAACGCGAAATTACAAGGTTTCCTCGTTGAAATTGTTTCCGTTCCGTTGCTTGAAATAACAATTGCTTAGTAAAAGTAGTTCGTTTTCTCTACTACAATAAGCTCGGACTAAATTTTAGATAACTAACTAGAAAATTATTTGGCGCTTACTTAGTTTTTTTTCCGAGCACGTGCTCGATATAGATATCTCATTATTTGCGTATTATGAAGTCATTGCATCACTTTCATTTTGACACTCCCGTAGTCGTCCGTGAGCTTCACCGACAAAGGGATAAGCCACGCCCCAAAACTACGATTCATTTTCAAGGTATCCTGTTAGCTCTTCGGAATTCCGTATGTATGTGGCCAGCCTAAAATACTTTAGACGCACTAAGACATAGTAATAGAAATTCGAGAAACTTCGACGGGAATTGTGATTGGCTGGAACGTTATGTATTTTTACCTAATCTAAAACTAAAATTACAAACAAACTTCCACCTAATACTAATTGACTACAGCAGTCTGTATACTCCTGCCGCCCACTTCAAGCAAAGAAAGGCAGCAGATGCGTAGTCACCTCTGAAGAGTAATGCCGGCTGTACACGCTCGTCTCATCGCCTCGTGTGCCTCTCACACTCGTATCATTTGAACTCCGTATGCCCGCTGAGATGGACCTAGATGAAACTGTTGCTGCGTTTTGCCTTTGAGCTATTATAATTTTTTACACATTAACTAAAAAATGAAATTAATTTGAAAAAAAAATGAAAATGCCATTGCGAAGAAGGAGATGGTGGATAGTTTCTATTTATAATAATAATAACATGTACGGTGAATAGAATAGAGTATGCTCTCGTTTTCATCGCGAAACTCACGAGACCCTTTGACTCGAGCGCATAAAACCGACACGCTTCCGAGAGCGCACCAGGACCACGAGACGCGACACGACGCGCCGAGAGCACCATGTACATACTCGTACTCGACCTGTCTCGTGGTGTCTCGACGAGCGTGTACAGGCGCCATAAGATATAATTCCTCACAGTCAGAGCAAGTAATCATGCATCCCTCGCACCGGCACGCAGCAGTACCGGAGCTGCTATTTCGCAGCATTAGGTAATAGGGTGGTATTAGACAGAATAGGAGACCTAGAGGATTGTGGATTCGATGCATTGCGTACATGTATCAGTATCGATTATAAGACGATGAAGTTTTTATATTAGTATTTAAGTTACAACGTGTAAGGAAGAGTAGCCATCTGCGCATGATAGGATTATAGTACGAGTGTGTGCACAAGCACATTTGCACTCTCTATTCCTTCAATCTCATAGTCTGATGGGACTGAACATGAGCGGAGAGAGATGAGCCGCGCGAGCATTCCGAAGCAAGAGGCGAAATCCTGCCTTGAGGCCGTATTGCAACTGAGAATTTCTTGACAGAAAACTTAATAACTGATTTTGCACAGACCCGAGATTCAAACCTTGGTTTAGCAATCGCGCTTGTGACCACTAGACCAACGAGACAGTCATAATAACGCAGTTATGGAGTGATTCTGAATTACAACGATTCCCACGAGAATTACGCAATCACATTCACACTGCACACAGCCGTGGTGGCACAAGTACTAAGCGCTCGAGCGCGAGCAACCCGAGTTCGATCCCCGCCAGTAGCAATGACATTGTTAATTGCAATTTTAATTCCAAAGTGTTAATTTACCAACTGGCCGGCGGTAAAGGAAAACATCAACAAGGTGAAGCCGGCAAAACACATTAAGGCGATGTGGCTGACGTTTCCTTGCCTTAAAACCCTCACATAAATGAAAGTATGCTTGCGTCCATTTATACGACGAATTTAGACTATAACTTTACTTTTTTGTTACTGCAGGCTACAAAGCGCATAGTCGATACTTCCGCACGGATAATGCTACTTCTTACCGTCACTAATCTAACTCTATAGAGTATAAGTTTAGCATTTTTGACTTTAACCTGTTAAGGCTGCACGGCATTCAGATAACGTTAGCTTTACATCCCCCTTATGCACCCTTCCATCCTTTCCAAAATTTTATAAATATACGAAGTGTTGCAGGTGAATTTTATATTACATTTCATTTTGAACGTTTTATCTAATCTCCCCAATCTCGGACACAGGCGCAAAATATCCAGCCTTTCGTTTTTCTACTTCATACATTTCTGGCAGTGTGCGTTGGAATTGCATTTTTCAACTTATTTCTTCCCTCTCCCTTCTACCATCGGACAACTCTCTGCACAGGGAGGACGACTCACTGGCCCATACCGCAAAGGAGAAAGCCGATCTTCTAGGCTCTTTCTTTGCGTCTAACTCGACTCTCGATGACGGGGGGAGTACTCCGCCGACCATCCCGCGGTGTGAGTGCTCCATGCCGGAAGTGCACTTCACACAGCGCTCGGTTCGCAAAGCACTCCTCTCCCTGGACATCCACAAGTCGAGTGGGCCTGACGGAATCCCCCCAATTGTGCTGAGGACGTGTGCTCCAGAGTTGGCACCGGTTTTAACGCGTCTTTTCCGGTACTCCTACTCCCTAGGCGTAGTCCCAAAATCATGGAAGACGGCTTACGTCCACCCGATCCCTAAAAAAGGCGACCGCTCTGACCCGTCCAACTACCGGCCAATTGCCATCACCTCCTTGTTCTCCAAAACAATGGAGTCCATTGTAAACTGCCAGCTCATGAGGTACCTTGAAGATCACCAGCTGATTAGTGACCGCCAATACGGTTTTCGCCGTGGTCGGTCAGCTGGTGATCTTCTGGTCTACCTAACTCACAGATGGGCGGAGGCAGTAGAGTTCAAGGGGGAGGCATTGGCCGTTAGTTTGGACATTGCGAAGGCCTTCGATCGGGTTTGGCACAAAGCGCTTCTTTCGAAGCTCCCTTCCTATGGGCTTTCCGAGAAATTGTGCGATTGGATCACCAGCTTTCTTGCAGATCGGAGCATCAAGGTCGTTGTAGACGGTGCAAGCTCCGATTGCATGCCTATTAATGCTGGTGTTCCACAGGGCTGCGTGCTATCGCCAACGCTGTTTCTTCTGCATATCAATGACATGTTGCATACCCGTAACATTCATTGCTATGCAGATGACAGCACTGGTGATGCTCTTTACACCGGCCGAGCCAATATTTCTCGGGAAAACGTCTCCGAGTGCCGGGACAAACTTGTGTCTGAAGTCGAGTCTCTGCTGGACAGAGTCTCGGATTGGGGGCGACTAAATCTAGTCCAGTTTAATCCCCAGAAGACACAAGTTTGCGCGTTAACCGCTAAAGAACCCCCTTGTCGTATCCCCTCAGTTTCAAGGCACTCCCCTTGTTGCCTCAGCCAGTATCGGAATCCTCGGCGTCGACATATCGAGTGACGTGCAGTTTCGTGGTCACTTGGAAGGGAAGGCCAAATTGGCCTCTAAAAAGCTTGGCGTGCTCAGCAGAGCGGGACAGTATTTCATGCCGGCACACCGCCTGCAACTTTATAAGGCGCAGGTTCGGCCGCACATGGAATACTGTTCCCATCTCTGGGCTGGGGCTCCCCAGTACCAGCTTCTTCCACTTGACCGCATCCAGCGCAGAGCGGCTCGAATCGTCGACGACCGAGTGCTTTCCGATCGGCTCGATTCACTGGCGCTGCGAAGAGATGTTGCATCTCTTTGCGTATTTTATCGCATCTATCACGGGGAGTGCTCTGAGGAATTGTTCGGATTAATCCCAGCCGCCAAATTTCGTGAACGCACTACACGTCAAACGTCCCGATACCATCCACACCATCTGGATGCTTGGCGGTCCACCACTGTACGTTTTACAAGGAGTTTTCTTCCACGTACAACCTCTCTGTGGAATAGTTTACCACCGGCGATTTTTCCGGACCGATACGACCTGGGGACCTTCAAGAAAAGAGCTTACTCCTTTCTAAAGGGCCGGCAACGCACCCGCAATTCTCCTGGTATTGCGGTTGATCATGGGCGGCGGTAGTCACTTAACATCAGGTGAGCCGCATGCTCGTTTGCCCCTTCTTCTATAAAAAAAAAAAAAAACAACGAAATGCTCGGCCAGTCTATGTTGTCGACTTACCACACATTCGAACCAAACGGTTTTCTTCATCGTTCGTAATGTGTACAACAAAGAAGTGGAAAAAGTTACTAGCATCTATCTTTCTATCCGACAACTACGTGGGTGCCTTGAAAGCAAGAGTGAATAGTCTTTTGGCTGAGCCTGCTTTACAAACTTCGGCTATATCACCATTTACCATCAGCTAGGACAGAAGTCATGCAAAAGTAGTCGTTAAAAATCTTATATTATTCTTTAAATAAAATAAAATCGATATCGAATAAAGCACAGACAAACTTTTGGTTTACGAAGTTTGAAAAGGATGGGACCTCACATGGCTTAATATGAACGTGGGTAGCTTTCCAACAAGCTTTTTTAAATCTGTTTATTTATTAGTTTATTTACAAAGGGAAAAGCAACAAATCACTCTCATAATATTTTTAAACAAATTTTATATTTGTAAAATAATTACAATGTTCAATATAAATATGTCATATATTTCTATACTGTCAAGTAAATTAAAGTTACACCCATGTGCGTTTCACAACTGGGCCCAGGCCTTCTCTCATTTCTGAGAAAGATTTCTTCATTGTATTAAAACCATTTATAAAATGATTTTTATTTGTTGTTATTAAAACAATGGTTTAATTTGTGTGCCAATATTGAGACACGCATCCAAATGCAACAGGTCAGGCAATTTTTCAGTTTGGTTTTAAAGATTTGTTTTCTTTTTCACAAATTACAAACACAATTACAGTAATAATTTCTCAAAGTATTATATATATATATATATATATATGTATACTTTGAGAAACACTATATAAATTTTAAAAATGTATATTCTCTGAGTTTTGACGCCTATGACAAATTACATAATGAACTTTGTGTTGGGATTTAATTACTCAGGTGTTTACATAAATGAAATCTTCATCATTACAGCCAAAGTCTCCTGCTGAATATGGGTTTTCCTTCTTTTCCTTGTAAGTGGGATATAATTGTCTTAGCGTTATACTTATAACAATGATTTCAATAGGAAATATATAAGTCAATGACTTATAATACGCTAGTAATATATAAGTCAATGACTTATAATTATTTATTTTATTACATTATATATGTTAGTAGCTTGCCTGGCAGACGTTGTTCTGCCCTTTTCAACGACCTATTCAAAACGATCCTATTAAAAATCCTTAAATTAGCAAAAAAAATTGTGGGGCACTGATGGGCAAAAAAAAAACGAATCCCATCTCGCAAGTTGGACCCAACTGCACACGGTGAGCAAATTTGATTAAAATCGGTTAAGTAGTTAAGGAGTCCATCCCGAACAAACAAAGTGACACGTAATTTATATATATTCAGATTATGAAGACGTTAATGCCCCAATGATTTTTAGATGTAATATAGATTGCCGAGATAATTTTTTCAGGACTTAATATATCTTAGTAGTTAGTTGTCTAATTCTTTATCAGCTCCTAATAGTGTATTGCTGAACGTAGTTCTTGTTAATTATAAGATGGATTAGCTATATGCGCCACACTTGGCAGAACTTACGGCATTTATAAGGAAACTATTTTTTTTTAAATAGAATAAGGGTGATAAACGAGCACACAGTTCACTTGATGGTAAGTGGATGCTGTGGCCCATAGACATCTACATTATCCTCGATTAAGAATCAAAACGCGGATGCGTTGTCAGCCCTAAGGACTACTTTATGTAAAGCCGAATGGAGTATGAATATGGAATGGAATGTATTTGCGTCAACCTTGCCTATATTTATATGGCCGGCTACATTGTTGGTTTACCAATGGTAACAATTTTTATTTTCGCCTTCTGTGATATGGTAGCAGCAGAGTATATATTATTTATTCCCGTTTAGGGTTGGTTAGCCTGGCTGCTACAATAGAATGCCTCGTTTCCAGTAAAAAAGGGTCTCCGGATCTCTATACTCACCATACGAAATACAGCAATATTAAGCTATATAACGCGATAGAATCCGTGTATATAGTTTTATTCAGTATTAAGCTGCTATTTTATGCTTGTTTTCTGTGAGAGCAGTTTCCTTCCCCGGCTGAGCCGACCCATTCGTGTTACAATCATAATATAGCTGCAGCGTGGCTCTGCCGCGCATCATTTCGTGACAGACAGATTTGAATTGACAATCGCAGTACTTATGCATCACGTATTGCGTTTATCTTTTTTTATAGGATAGGGTGACAAACGAGCACACAGTCCACCTGATGGTAAGTGGTTGCTGCGGCCCATAGACATCTACATCTATCCTCGATTACAAATCAAAAAGCATATGGGTTGTCACCCGTGAGGACTAAGATGGAATGCCTCGTTTCCAGTAAAAAGGGTCTGTCAATTTGAATTTGAAAATTCGCCAATTTGATGACGCTCTCCATCGTCGCTATTGTTATTTTACATCTGGTATATACACGATTATAATACTTACTTACACTATCTATCGAAGGTCATGAAGAAGTATTCCTAAATGTTCTCATAGTTAAGGTTATCTTTAAAAAGATTTTGTTGACTTATACCTCAACGGTGGCCCTGTTGCGGACGTATTGTGTGATTTACCGTAAAGGATACATCATCAGGCAGCGGCGATGTTCGAAGGTCGGCCATGTTTCTCACGCGGTAAAAAGTGTCCTTTGTTTGTTGTTACGCGGCGGTGACGAGCGTGTCCCCAACTTAGCCAAGGCTGTTGATTATAGTGTGACCCCGGACTCACCACTCGCCGCTTGCATACTGAGTACTACTACCGTTTTGAAGTGCACTTACAAAAATTCTGGTTGAACATTTTAATATCATCAAAACGAAAGTTTTTAATAATGTGTAAAATTTTTGAGGTATAGATGATAATTTGCAAGCTTGTACTGGGTGATTTTCTTTATCGTCTGGAAAAAATTAGGGTGTAACAGGTGAACGCACTGATATTTTACAATATTTTTTTATTTTACATTAAAATATTATGAAATTGATGTACTACTAATTTTAAATAAACTTTCGGTACTAAAAAAATAACAACAAAATTATCGAACTAAATAAATAAATCAATTAAAAACTATCGAAATTAAAATAATACGTACCCATTCAGTAGTATTTATTGATAGATCAATTTCATATGTTAATGTAAAATAAAAAAAAATGTTAAATCATTCAGTACAAACAACAAACTTTATCTATATAATAATTCATAGCACGTACCGTCGTTTCTCGTCATCCTCAGTCCGTTAAATTCTACTGCACATAGTTCTCTTCCATTGTGGGGAGGATCACACCTGACGTTAACGAGATGGTTATACTGCCATCTATTGGAAGTCAAAACATTTTTGGCATATGCCATAGTCGTCTCTACAACACTCATCAATGGGATGAAATGGAATAAAAAATAATAACAAAATTGGCAATAAAGAAATTTAATATTAAGTAATAAAGTAAAGTTAATGTAAAGTTACAGCCTATATACGTCCCACTGCTGAGTACAGGCCTCCGCTCATTTCTGTGAGGGTTTTAGGGCAAGGAATTGTGCGCCGCGCTGCCCCAATACATGTTGGCTAATTTCACATGTCTGCGAAATATTTTTTTTCTTATTTCTCTGGCATGCAGGTTTCGTCACGATGTTTTCCTTTACCGCCGAGCACGTGGTAAATCAGCATTTAAAATTGCAATTAACAATTTCATTGGTGCCGGCGGGGATCGAACCAGGTTTGCTTGTGTACTGTGAAATTTACAGCGAGCGCTAACCATCTGAGCTACCACGGCTCATAAGTAATAATAAAATTAATTTCAAAGAGTAGTTGGAAAATTATAAGCTTTAGTTCAAATATGTAAATAATGATATACAGTTATTGCAGTTTTTGAAAATACGAGTAAATAAAGCTTCTACTTTTATTTGAAATTATCCCAAAAATGTGATTTAAGAACGACAAGGTTTTTGCCTACCGATCGACCCTTACGAATGTGTGCGTGCGCAGTAAAATCAGTTAAAATAATACATTATCACACATTTTGAATTTTAAAATATAAAAAGTACAGAATTTTTGAGATTTTATTTAATTAATATTTCTTCACCATTTGCCTATATTACTTATTCTGCACCTTGTCTGCAAATTTAGCCGGTTATTGCAAAATAACCCTGTATATTCTGTGGTAATATGTACTTACACGCCTACATAACAAAACTATCGACTTAATAATATGGTCGGATTTTGTTACTTATTAGCATTTCTATGGTTTAAAATAAAATATTTGCGTTGTTGATTATATTATTATACATATGATTATATTTATATAGAATGTAGAAATAGAATTTCCTTTACTGTTTATTATAATATAAATCGGCGTAAAGTGGCGCAGTAAAATAATTCACTACCTCTTTTCATCCCGTGGCCTGTAAAATGCGACACATAGAAAATAAAACCGAAGAAAGGCAGCAGAATCTTCATGGAACAACTAAAAATAATAAAAATAAATAATGTCCTCCAGACCGAATTTCGATCACGGCGGCCAGCCTGCATGGATACTATGGAATCGGCGCAGGACAGGATTATAAAGCCCAAGTGTATGCGCAAGCCCAGGTGCACTCTCTATTCCCTCACTCTCATAGTCCGATGGGGGACGGTAAACAGGCACGTCCGGATACGGAGAGAGACCAGACGCAGGACCAACGGCTTTACGTGCTCTCCGAGGCACGGGGTTGGGACACCGCCAACTTCTCCGGGCAACTACTAGAATTACTGAATACTGAGAATTTCTTAATGGAAAAACTCTATAACTGATATTTTTTTGGCCCGACCTGGGATTTGAACCCAGGACCTCGTGATCAGTAGTCGCACTACTACAACCACTAAACCAACAGGGCAAATATTGCAGTTGCCAACCTGCCTGCCAAGTGTGGCAACTATGGCAAATATATCCCAATGAGTCAGAGTACGGAGGAGGCTTATCTTAAGCAATGGACTCTTGATAGCCTGTAATTGGAGATTTTGATTTTTGATTTGGATAGAATTGGATCAGAGCCAGTGGACATTCGATCAGTACATTAATTTCACTAATTTAGCAAGAACATACATGAAACAAAAAAGCTTTATTATTATTATTATTAATTATTTCTGTGTTAAATAGTTTTGTAAGCCTAAATCTATTATTATAAGCGCACTATTCTCGTGTTCGTGTAACGACTGTCCGTCAAGACCAAAACAATTCATCTTTCCCAAATCGAAATGTCACACGGAATAGCGTAGCTCGTAAGTTATTATGCCTACCAAAATCTTAGTTCCAAGTTCACACGTGTGAAGTATATTATAATAACATACTTATAATTCCTCAATATCCGTTCACGCAATGTACGTAGTTATGTAGTTTTTTTTTTATTACGCACATTATTTAAAAATTTTGTGTAAAAGGAAAAAATCGTATATAATACAACAAATTATAACCAATGGCGTAACAAAGGCGGCCATGGCTGCATGGCCAATTTAGGTAAAAAAAACCGTAGAAGAGTATCAAGATAGTAGAGTAGATCGTAAGAGGTATAAAGGAAAAGTTAAAGCAGAACTCTTAGTGTTCAATTTTCTAAAAATAGATTTTACCCACATTTGTCAAGAGTAGGGATAAAACACATTATAATCTGTGGTCTGTGGAATAAAAGTATTAAAAATACATTATATCGATTTATTTATTTTCAAATACAAATCGAAAGATCGATTTAATTTTTAAGAACTTATTTTTAAGATTATACATATACGAAAATTAGGGGGGCGGGCGGTGTGAGGGTATTTTTTCTGGCACTAACGGACCCAGACGGCAGAAAGTCATGTGTCAGTTTTAACGTAATAAAATCATAATCATCAGCCCTTTAGCAATCCACTATTGTACTGGCAAAAGTCACTCATACTTTACTCTTCTGATGCTGTCACCTTCAAAGAGGCAATTATCATCAAACGTATGGTCTTTCAATTAAAAATCGCTTGATTTTCGACAGATATTGATTGATTAACACATACAAACAACGTTAAATAAATAACCTCGAATTTATAAAATGCCTTTTTTATACGTGGCTTTGTTTATATAATAAGGGAGACAAACGATCACGCACACAGTTCACCGGATAGTAAGTGGACGCTGTGGGGCAAAGCCATCTGTATTTATCACCGATTCGGAATCAAAATGCAGATGTGTTGTCACCTCTCTATGACGGAATGTCTCGCTTCCAATAAGGTCTCCGGTTCTCTACAATCACCATACGAAACACAACGTATATACAACGTATATACGTATAACGTATATACGTAACATACGTTGTTATTCTGATCGAGGGAGCTAAGAACGTAGTGCCTCCCATGTCCCATAGTCCAACCCATACATGCTACAACCATAATATAGCTGCAGCATAGCTTTATCACGTATAAAATGTATCCTTCATCCTTTTTAGTAATGTCCTAATGTAGGTACATGGATGACCTATTCTATGTACAGTTTTCTGACATAAGGTCTAAGATAGCAAGAAAGTTTGCTGTTCACTGAGTACCATTTTTTCACATGTGCACACGGTGAATCTGATGGTAAGTGGATGTATGTGTGGCCCATAGGCCACACATACATCTACTTTTGATTAAGATGTAAATTAGTTGTCGCCCCTTAAAGCCATCTCATGAACCATTAATAGGGACCTTTGACTTTGAAAGGGACTTTAATTCCCGTATTACGATTTATGCTGATATTCTGTAAAAGTGTAGACTGTAGAGTGACTGCTGACTGATATAACTTATTATGGTAGAAACCGACAGCAAATTTAAGAATAATTATCGGACTCCCTTATATGAAAGGTCAAGACTACGCTACGCTAACACGCTTTCAATCGAAAACAGTATAGACAATACAAACGAATCGTTCATTGAGCGATTTCGACGGACTATTTCATTAGCATCGCCACTTGAAAGACCTATATTTTAGCAGTGTAGTGAGAAAATTGCAAAATCCTACTACCTACTAACAATAATAACAAAATTGGCAAGAAAATAAATTAAAAATAGTATATCTTTAGAGTGACTGTAGACACAGAATATATAATAGTCCGTAGATTGATCTGTGTACGCAGAGATCAAAGGAATTGACAAAACAGAGTCGGATAATATGACGAAATTAAAACGATTTCTTGTGGAACCCTATAGTTAAAGCTTAATAATTTCGTGTTTAAATGAAACGATTTCCGGAATTATAATTAAATTATTTCTTATCCTTTCGATGACCGGTGCGGTCATGGGTACTGATTTTTTATTAATACATAAGTTCGTGAGAAATCGCTTTGTATTTTAGCGAGTGGGAATGATTCAAATCCTTAAATTGTTTAAAGTCAAACATCGTTTTAGTGATTTAAAATACATTTCAACACAATATATTTATTATCTATCACATGTTTTGTCATTTATCTATAGATAATTTTATCCTTACGTTAAAAAATATATTATTTTAATTAATAAGTTGCTTTAATGTATAAATTCTTGTTACCGGAATCCATAATAATACTAAAAAACACTGTGTTAAAATAAAAAATCTGTTTTGGTTTAATAGCATATAAAAGATTATATAAATTATTTCCAGGTAAAAAAAAGACTTCGCGA